CCAAGAGGCCTCCAAGAGGGCCTCCAGGAAGCCCAGAAGAGGCCAGAAACACAGCCGGAAACTGATGTTCCTTAGGTGCTTGAAGGATTTTGACACTTGCTTTCTTTCGGCATTCCGACGGCCCGATACGGCCCAAGAGCCCCCAAAGATCGCCCAAAGATCGCCCAAGATGCCTCCACGATTGCCCTAGAACGGCCCAAGAAGCCCCCAAGACGGCCCCAAGAGGCCCCAAAGACGGCCCAGGAGGCTTTTAAGACGCCCGAGATGGCCTCCAAGACGGCCCTGGGGCATTCCAAGAGGGCCCAAAGTCGGCTGAGAGAGGCCCCCCAAACTGCTTTCGACTGCGTCGGACGGGCCAGGGGCCCACCAAGACGGCCGAAGATGGCACTACGATGGCCCAAGACGGCCCAAGAGGCCTCCAAGAGGCCTCCAAGAGGGCCTCCAGGAAGGCCCTAAAAGGCCAGCATCATTGATTTCCCATGAGTTTTTGGAAGGATTGTGGCATTTGCATTGTTCTTCCTTCCGACGGCCCGAGACGGCCCAAGTGCCCCCAAAGATCGCCCAATAGGCCCAAGACGGCCCAGAGGGGCCCCCAAGATGGCCCACGAGGCATCCAAGACGCTCAAGATGGCCTCCAAGACGGCCCAAGAGCCCTCCAAGACGTCCTCCAAGAAGGCCCGAAAGGGTCAAAATGGCCTCCCGACGGCCAAGATGACCTTCAAGATGCCCACGTGTTCCCCGAAGGCTTTCCAAACTGATTCGGGGAGCACATGATCCGATAGCTTGGCAGGTCTGACCTCAACGTTCGGCCACCTGGGCACTTCCAAACAGGCAGGGGGCGGCGGTGATTCGCCGTAGGCGTCTTCGATCCGCCGCCCCCTGTCGATTCATCGCAGGGGTGCCTGGCGTGCTGGACTTCTTACCGTTTGGTTTGGGTTCTTGTTCCAAAAGACCCCCCGCTGGCGTTTCGGACCGTCCCGCCAGGGTCCAGGGAGGGAGCTCCAGGCGCGCAAACGACCTCAACGTCCACACAAAATTCTCCAAGACAGCTCAAGATGGCCTCCAATATGTTTTCAAGACGGCCAAGATGGCCCCAAGATGCACTCAAGACAGCCTAAGCCTCAAGATGGCCTCAAGAGGGCCCCAAGATGGGCCAAGAGGCCTCCAAGACGCCCAAGATGACCCGCCAAGACGGCCTCGAAGCGCCCCAGGAGGGCCCCACGTCGGTTCAGAGAGGCCCCCAAGACGGCCCCCGACGGCGTCAGACGGGCCAGGAACCCACCAATATGGCCGAAGCTGGCTCGAAGCTGGTCCAAGACCCCAAGAGGCCTCCAAGAGGGCCTCCAGGAAGCCCAGAAGAGGCCAGAAACACAGCCAGAAACACTGATGTTCCTTAGGTGCTTGAGGGATTTTGACACTTGCTTTCTTTCGGCATTCCGACGGCCCGATACGGCCCAAGAGCCCCCAAAGATCGCCCAAAGATCGCCCACGATGCCTCCAAGATTGCCCTAGAACGGCCCAAGAAGCCCCCAAGACGGCCCCAAGAGGCCCCCAAGACGGCCCAGGAGGCTTTTCAGACGCCAGAGATTGCCTCCAAGACGGCCCTGGAGCATTCCAAGAGGGCCCAAAGTCGGCTGAGAGAGGCCCCCCAAACTGCTTTCGACTGTGTCGGACGGGCCAGGGGCCCACCAAGACGGCCGAAGCTGACACTACGATGGCCCAAGACGGCCCAAGAGGCCTCCAAGAGGGCCTCCAGGAAGGCCCTAAAAGGCCAGCATCATTGATTTCCCATAAGTTTTTGGAAGGATTGTGGCATTTGCATTGTTCTGCCTTCCGACGGCCCGAGACGGCCCAAGCGCCCCCAAAGATCGCCCATTAGGCCCAAGACGGCCCTCAGGGGCCCCCAAGATGGCCCACGAGGCATCCAAGACGCTCAAGATGGCCTCCAAGACGGCCCAATAGCCCTCCAAGCCGTTCTCCAAGAAGGCCCGAAAGGGTCAAAATGGCCTCCCGACGGCCAAGATGACCTTCAAGATGCCCACGTGTTCCCCGAAGGCTTTCCAAACCGATTCGGGGAACACATGATCCGATAGCTTGGCAGGTCTGACCTCAACGTTCGGCCACATAGGCACTTCCAAACAGGCAGGGGGCTGATTTGCCGTATGCGTGTTCGATCCACCGCCCCTTGTCGATTCATCGCAGGGGTGCTTGGCGTGCTGGACTTCTTACCGTTTGGTTTGGGTTCTTTTTCCAAAAGACCCCCCGCTGGCGTTTCGGACCGTCCCGCCAGGGTCCAGGGAGGGAGCTCCAGGCGCGCAAACGACCTCAACGTCCACACAAAATTCTCCAAGACGGCTCAAGATGGTCTCCAAGATGCCTCCAAGACGGCCAAGATGGCCCCAAGATGCCTCCATGACGGCCCAAGATGCACTCAAGACAGCCTAAGATAGCTTCAAGATGGCCCAAGGCGGTCGAAGAGGGCTCTAAGGGGCCTCCAATACGGCCCAAAACGCCTCCAAGATGTCCTCCAGGAGGGCCCGAATATGCCAAACTCATTGGTTTCCCTTAGGTTTTTGAAGGATTTTGGTAGGTGTTTCCTCTCGGCATTCCGACTGCCCAAGACGGCCCAAGAGGCCCCCAAGATCGCACCAACATCGCCCATGAGGCCTCCAAGATGGCTCGAGACTGCCCAAGAGGCCCCCGAGACGGCCCCAAGAGGGCCCCAAGATGGGCCAAGAGGCCTCCAAGACGCCCAAGATGGCCCGCCAAGACGGCCCTGGGGCACCCCAGGAGGGCCCCACGTCGGTTCAGAGAGGCCCCCAAGACGGCCCCCGACGGCGTCAGACGGGCCAGGAACCCACCAAGATGGCCGAAGTTGGCTCGAAGCTTGTCCACGACGGCCCAAGAGGCCTCCAAGAGGGCCTCCAGGAAGGCCAGAAAAGGCCAACGACATTGATGTGAGACAGGTTGTTGACGGATTCTGACATTTGCTTCTTTGCAGCCTTCTGACGGCCCGAGACGGCCCAAGAGCCTCTACAGATCGCCCAAAGATCGCCCAAGAAGGCTCCAAGATGGCCCCAGAACGGCCCAAGAGGCCCCCAAGACGGCCCCAAGGGGACCCCAAGGCTGCCTTGGAGGCCTTTAAGGCGCCCAAGATGGCCTCCAAGACGGCCCTGGAGCATTCCCAGGGGGCTCCAAGTCGGCCCAGAGAGGCCCCCCCAAAACGGCTTCCGACGGCGTCGGACGGGCCAAGGGCTCACCAAGACGGCCGACGTTGGCTCGAGGCTGGTCCACGACGACCCAAGAGGCCTCCAAGAGGGCCTCCAGGAAGGCCCGAAAAGGCCAGCATCATTGATTCCCCATGGTTTTTACAGGATTGTGGCATTTGCTTTTTTTCTGCCTTCCGACGGCCCGAGACGGCCCAAGTGCCCCCAAAGATCGCCCAACAGGCCAGAGACGGCCCCATGAGGCCCCCAAAATTGCCCAAGAGACATCCAAGACGCTCAAGATGGCCTCCAAGATGGCCCAAGAGCCCTCCAGGACGTCCTCCAAGAAGGCCCGAAAAGGTCAAAATGGCTTCCCGACGGCCAAGATGACCTTCAAGATGTCCACGTGTTCCCCGAAGGCTTTCCAAACCGATTCGGGGAACACATGATCGGATAGCTTGGCAGGTCTGGCCTCAACGTTCGGCCACATAGGCACGTCCAAAAAGGCAGGGGGCGGCGGTGATTCGCCGTAGGCGTCTTCGATCCGCCGCCCCCTGTCGATTCATCGCAGGGGTGCCTGGCGTGCTGGACTTCTTACGGTTTGGTTTTGTTTTTTCCAAAAGAATTCCCCTTGGCGCTTCGGCCCGTCCCGCCGGGTCGAGGGAGGGAACTCCAGGCGCGCAAACGACTTCAACGTCCACACACAATTCTCCAAGACGGCTCAAGATGGCCTCCAAGATGCCTCCAAGACGGCCAAGATGGCCCCAAGATGCTTCCAAGACGGCCCACGATGCATTCAAGACAGCCTAAGATAGCCTCAAGATGGCCCAAGGCGGTCGACGAGGGCTCTAAGGGGCCTCCAATACTTCCCAAGAGGTCCTCCAGGAGGGCCCGAAGAGGCCAAAATTATTGGTTTCCCGTAGGTTTTTGAAGGATTTTGGTATGTGTTTCCTCTCGGTATTCCGACGGCCCAAAACGGCCCAAGAGGCCCCCAAGATCGCACCAAAATCGCCCACGTGGCCTCCAAGATGGCCCGAGACGGCCCAAGAGGCCCCCAAGACGGCCCCAAGAGGGCCCCAAGATGGGCCAAGAGGCCTCCAAGACGCCCAAGATGGCCCGCCAAGACGGCCCTGGGGCACCCCAGGAAGGCCCCAAGTCGGCCCAAAGAGGCCCACCAAACGGCTTCCGACGGAGTCAGACGGGCCAGGAACCCACCGAAATTGCCGAAGTTGGCTCGAAGCTGGCCCAAAACGGCCCAAGAGGCCTCCAAGAGGGCCTCCAGGAAGGCCAGAAGAGGCCATGTTTGTGGGGGCCAAGAGGACGTGTGCTCCGTGTGGGTTTGTCGCCGCCAAATCCGCTCAAGCTTCAACGCGCTGAGGCCCCGCCACGCCTGAAGGTGGCGGGGCTCTGCGCGGCCCTGGCTGCGGTGGGGCCCGGCGTGCTGCGGGAGCTGGCGCGCGGGGCCGTGGCGGAGACGGCGCAGTTGGCGCTGGCGGGGACGCAGAGCTGCCCTCCCTGCCCCGACTGCCGCCCAGCGCCCTGCCCGCCGTGCCCGGGCTGCCCGCCCTCCGCTCCCTGCCCGGCGTGGGACTGCCTGGCGGCTGGTCCGCCGTGGGCCGCGTCGGCCGGTAAGGAGGCGCAGGGGGACAGGAGCGAGGTGCTTTGGCTGTGGTTGCTGGCGGTGGCGTTCGCCTTCGCGGCTGAACGCTGGAGCGCGGCAGGGGGTTCGGCCCCGCCGCCGCGGGCGGCTCGCGACCATGTCGACCTACGAGGAGAGGCGGCGGTTCGCCGGCGATGAGCGGACGCGCGAACGGATCCTCTTGTTGTGGCCCGTCCGTTCACCGCGATCGGCGCCACGAGTGCTGGGTGATCGAGACACCCGACGGCGATCGCGATGTCGAGCGGAAGGCGGATTGGCCGTGGGATGTGTCGTTGTTGCACGGCTGGCTGGAGGGTTTTGCGGGCAACGCGGCGCGCTTCCGGGCCGAGGTGGGCCGAGAAGTGTTGCGCCAGATGGTGCTGGAAGGCTGCGACCTGGCGCGCGAGGAGCGCCGCCGCCGTCGCCTCCCTCGGCAAGGGCGATCACCTCGGCAAGGGCCCGACGACGGCACGGTGGACTGGCGCGGCGACGAGCGCGGCCTGGATGCTGGAGTGCTGGAGGCGGCTCGACGCAGGCCGCGCGGGAAGCGCCCCCTGCTGGGCGGCGGGCGCGCGCCGCAGGCGCCCGGCGATGAGGAGGCCACCCGCGCCGCCTTGGGCGACGCTGCGCCGCTGGGGGACGCGGAGAGCGCGCTGCTGGCGGCGGAGCTCCACGCCGGCGGCGGGCTGGCGCTGGGCGACGAGCTGGCCGCGAGCGGGGCCGGCGTTTCCGCGGGCGCGATTGCGATCGGGCGCCGTGCGGACGGGCGGCCGGCGCCGCGCGAGCGGGCGCCGCTCTCGGACGCCGCTGCCTGGCGGGCGCAGGCATTCGAGGACGCTCGGAGCCTGGCCCCGCCTCCGCCGCCTCCCCATGTGGCCGCGCCCGCTGAGGAGCGTCGGCCACGGGACCTGCGAGATGCCCTGCGCGCCCCAGTCGAGGAGGTCGGCGGGGCGAGCACGCCGCGCGAGGCCCGAGCCGAGCAGCAGCCCGAGGATGTCAGGACGTCGGCGGTGTAGTGGAACGAGCAGGGCATCTTCTGGTTTGCCCGCACGTTCGATGCAGCGAACCTAGGGGGCTTAGCCTGCTTGGGGATGGCGGCGCGGCGGATCGCCCGGATCACCGAGGCCCATCGCGCTGCCCCCAGGAGGCCCGCAGCCCGGGGGGCAGGTTGCTTCCTGACGGGCACCGGCGACCCATTCGACGCGGCGTCGCCCGAGATGCGGAACTTCGCGAACCGCGAGGCTCGGGGCGAGGCCGAGCGGCTGGCTGCGCTGGGCCAGGGGCGGACGCTGGCGGCCGGCGGTCGCGAAGCTGACGGCAGCGACGACGTGGCTGGGGCACGGCATGCGGGGGGCCTCCCCCGTGTCGGTGCCGAGGGCGACGCAGGCAGAGGCGGCGGTGGCAGTCGCGGTCGCGGGCAGAAGATCAAGCCCAGCGACGCGGGGGCCACCGCCCCATCGAAATGACGGGCGCGAGACCAGGGGCGGGGCGGCCCCCAGGCCCGGAAGCGGGGGCCACGCGCGGCGGGCAGATCTACCCACTGCCGCCCCTGCGCGAGCTGGACGCAGGCGTCGCTGGCTTGCTCGGTCGCCGGGATCGGGCACGCGTGCAGCAGCTGGCCAGGGAGAGTCTAGCTGCCCTGAATTGGATGCACGGTGCTGGGGACGGCCGCCTGGCGCGCCGTTCAGCTGGGCCACGCGTTGCCGCGTGGCAGAGCTGCCGCGCGAGGCGCAGCGGCGGGCGCAGTTCCTGGAGGCCAGCTGGGGCGCTCCTGCCGACGCGGAGGATTCGCAGCAATGTCTGGCACGACTGCTGCGGGGCCGAGGCGGCAACGCCCAGCTGGCCCACGCGACGCTGATCCCCTTCTCCCACGCCCGGCCGTCGGTCCCGGAAGACTCGGCGGGGTCGCCACGCATCGCGGACTTGCTGCCGGAGGCGGCTCGGATTCAGTTGAAGGAGTATGAGAGCCACATGATGCGTTCGCCTGCGGAAGTGGACGAAACGAACGCACGTCGCGGTCCAGTTCGACCCTATATGGGCCCAGTTTTGAGCCACAAGCGCCCCGCCTACGTCGGCCTGGTGAAGCGGCTGCTGAGGATAGGCCCGGTGCGCTTGTCGACCGCGCGCCGCTGTCAGGCGGGGTCGCCAGCGGCTGATCCTGGACTGCCGCCCGGCGAATCGTTTGTTCAGGAGTCCGCTCGGGGTCGACCTGGTCAGCGGTGACGGCCTCGGCCGCGTCGAGAGGTCGACGACGAGCGGCCCTGGCCGGCTGGCCGGGGCGAGGAGCTGGACGACGCCCTGGGCGGCCTCGACGCCTGGCTCGGCGTGAGCGACGTGAAGGATTGCTTCCACCGGCTGCTCTTGGACGCCGGCCCAGGTCTCCAGGAGTTCTTCGGCTGCCCGCCGCTGCGCGCAGCCGAGCTAGGCCTCGCGCAGCTGGGCGGGGTGGCGCTGGAGCGGGGCACTCTGCTCTACCCGCTGGCCCGCGCGCCGCCGATGGGCTGGGCCTGGTCGCTGCGCTTCGCCCAGGCGGCCAACGCGCATCGCGCGACGCTGCTGCGCGAGCTGGACAGGGCCTTGCCCACGTCAGACCGCGGCCCCCCGCTGCTGCTGGACAGCCCGCTGGCCCTCGGCCACTGCGCCTGCGAGGACCAGGTGAGGTCGGCGCTGGAGGCGGCCACGGAGTCGCTCGGTCAGGCGGGGCTCGAGGTGCACGAGACCGCGCCGGCGAATGACGGCGGGGAGGCGCTCGGGGTGAAGCTCAACGGCCGCAGGGGGTGCACGCGACCCGCGCCCCCCAGGTTCTGGCGCCTTAGCGGCGCGGTGCAGGCGCTGCTGCGGCGTCGCAAGGTGAGCGGCGTCGAGCTGGAGATCGTCGTGGGACACCTCGCGTTCCCGGGCCTGGTGCGCCGCGAGAGCTTGAGTGGCCCCCGCTGCACCTGCAGCTTCATCCAGCGCCGCTACTACGACGGGGCCGAGCTGTGGCGGAGCGTTGGCGAGGAGCTCTGGGCCTTCACGGGCCCGATGATCTTCCTCCGCGCGGACAGGGGCGCCAGTCGGAAGCGCCCCTCGCCTCTGGCTTGGCATATTCGCTGTGGGGCCCTCGCGACGTCGGCCGGGTGGGCCGCGTCTGCGAGCGGCCCCGCCATCGCCCGGGGGCGGGGGCGGCGCGGCGGCGCGCCGTGGAGGCCGCGGGCTTGGAGCTGCTTGCGGACGGCGGCGCCGCCGCGCCGAAGGCCCGCGCAGGCGGGGTCCCCGAGGAGGAGGTGGACCGCCGGTGCCGGGGCCCCGCTTTTGAGGAGGTGCCGGCGGAGCTGCTGCGCGCTGGGCGCTGGGGGGCAGTTTTGGCCGATCGGTGGGCCTTCGAGGAAGGGGTCCTCCATCTCGAGGGCCGCGCGCTGGTCAAGGCCGCGCGGAGCGCGTGGCCGGCCCCCGCGCAGGCTGCGACGGCCGAGCCCTCCTGCTGGGTGACAACGCGGCGGCGGTCCTTGCCTTCTCACCAGCGCAGGCTGCTGACAATGATTCGGCGTGCGGCAGCTGGCTCGTTCGGGCGAGGGCTCAGGTTCATTTATAAGTGGATCCCTTCGGAGTTCGACAGCAGCGACGAGGGGGGCAGAAAGTTTGCAAAAGAGTACGAGTCGGATAAGTGCGTCACCCACTTGCTGCCAGGTGGTGGATGGGACAGAGACAGATCGGGGCGGGCCCCAGATGGCCCTGACGTCGAGCGTGCACCCGCGACCTCGGCGATCCACCTTCCGGAGCCATCCTGGCTCGAGAAGGGCGGCGCCAGCGTGGAGGCCGCGGCCGCGCGTCTGGCTGCCAGCGAGGCGAGTCTGGCCAAGCGGCGTGCCCCCGCGGGGCCAGGCCAGCCGAGCGCGGGTGCTGACCCGTCCGCTGGAATCGGCGCCGCCCGCGGCCAGGTCGGGCGGGTCGACGCTCTCGAGCCGCAGCCCCCGCCGAGCGCGGACGCTCAGCAGGGCCGTCTGCAGCAGCCTGGACCAGCGGGTCAGCGCCGGGCCCACGCCGTCGCCGACGGAGCTGGAGCACGCCCCGGAGACGCGCTGGGGCTGGGCCGCGGCGGACCTCCTGGGCAGCTCCAGAGCCGCGGGCGGAGCCGCCGCTCTGCCGCCGAGGACGCCAGCGAGAACAGCTGCGAGGAGGAGCTGCCGGGGCGATCCTCGGCGCGCGCCGACGCCCGGCGGGCCGCGGCGCGGGCGCGACGGATGGCCTGGGCGAAGCTGCCGCCGGGACAGACAATCTTGGATGCACACAGCGTCAAGGCCGCCACCCGCGCCCGCTACCAGATGCACGTGGACGTGCTGATCGCCTTCGCGGACAAGCGCAACGCCCCTCTCGTCGAGGGTGCCGAGGTAGACGACTGCATCGGGAAGTGGATGAACACCGAGTTCAGCGAGGGCCGCTGCGCTTGGCGCGGGGAGGGCATGTTCACCTTCCCTGGCATCAGTCGCAACGGCAGTCGGAAGCTCCCACGAGCGTTCCAACGCCTTCGAGGCTGGCGCATCTTGAGCCCGCCGATGATCCGCACTCCCTTGCCCTGGCCCACGCGGGCGACGCCGGCGCTGCAGCTGGTGCGCCGCGGCCGCGACCGTCGGAGCTGCCTGGTGGTGTTCGTGATGGTGGAGGCGCGCCTGCGACCGTCGGAGCTGCTGTCGCCGACGAGACGTTCGCTGCTCCCACCAGCTCGCGGGGGCCTGAGTCAGTGGTGTCTGCTGCTGTTTCCGAGCGCTAAGGGCGTCACCCGCAGCAAGACAGGCGAAGCGGACGACACGGTGGTGATGGACTCGTCCAGGACGCCCTCGCTCAACTACATGTTCCATCGCCTCAGTCGGGGCCCCGGGGACGAGCGGGTCTCCCCCTGGGACTACAGCCAGTGTTTTACCAGATGTTCGCGCAGGCCGCGGTGGCCCTCGGGTTCGAGATGGTGCCATGCCAGGGCCGCCGCAGCGGGGCTTCGATCGACCGGGCACAGCGCGTCAGGAGCGCCGCCAGGTACGAGAGGGCGGGCCGCCTGAACGACGCCTGGCGGGAGCTGACCGCCAGCCAGCAGGAGTGCGCCCTCGACTGCGAGCGCCAGCTCGAGGTGTGCTTCGCGCGCGGGCGCCAGCTGCAGGCTCTGCCGCTGCGCCCGCGACCCCTTTCCTGGCCGAGCTGTTCAGCGGCGCTGGGCGGGCGGCGGCGGCGGCGC